GACGGTGGTCAGCGATGGGATGACAGGAGGACAATGCGGGCAGAGCGTTGAGAAGAAGCCGCGCGGGGACGCGGGCGGCCGGCGCGCGTGCAAGACAACTCACCTGGGACATTGTCCAAAGTCCTGGACTCGAGAATGCCAATACCCATGATGGCAGAATGTTGGAGGTTCCAGATGCTTGTATGAGCAGCGTGGACGTTGCAGGTCTCACGACATGATAAGGCTGAGAAGGAGTAGAGCCAGGCACAACCGAGTCGGTCTGGCGTAGGGCGGTTGTCGTGGTAGTCGGGAAGAAGAACCTGGAGAGAGGGACCCGGTGAAGTGACCTCGTTCAATAAAAAAGGCTAACCGTTCTAGGTTTCCGTGTCTCTCGCCTCTCCTCATCTCCTTGCCTCCTTCCCCCAGCTATGGTGTGACCTTGAACATAGGTGTGGAGTCACCCGTGAAGGAGGTACCTTTTCTAGCTTCCCTGACCGGCACTTTGCTCTTGTCTTCGGCAGCTACGGGCTTGGGGTGTTGGGATACGTCGCAGGGGTACCCAGCAGTGCTTGCCCATTTTTTGTGGCTCATTAAACCTTAAAGAAAGAGCTTGTCGGATGCTGTGGATGCAGTTCAAGAGTTTCGGCCAGGTCCCCCTACAATTGGACAGGGAAGGGTACGGATAGATGTTCTTACGGAGCATACGGAGTATACACAACACAGTACTTGGGAACATAGCAAATGCCCTGGAAGTAAGAAGACCCTCCGTGCCCTGTCTTCTTGACCCAACGCAACGGGCGGAGGATCCTCTCGCCGAAACGGCCGGGTCACGACTGGTTGGCCGGTCCGACCAGGTGGACATAGTCCCGAAGAGGAAAAGGAAGGGAAAACGCCAAAATGACGAACGAACTAGAGATTCATCGTCTTGACCAAGTTGGCGTCCAATCTTCCGCAAGTTTTGTTTATGATTACTGATCAGGGTGCACTGACTCTACTTTGCGCAGAAACTCAAACGCAAACTCGCCGTCCAAATTGAGGAGAGAGAAAGCGCAGAGAAAAGCTTCCATTCCAATCCAAGCTTGACTAACTCATCTCAACATGTGAAGCAACTGTTTTTGCCTGGCTGATCTTGATCTATAGTTTACCTTTTCGCGTCACCAAGACCCCGAAAAGAGCTCGTCGTCGTGTGGGTACTGAGCACGTATTGCTGCTTTGTCCTCCTCCCCATCATATTTTGGACCCACGGCCGTGCCCCCGTCGCAAAAAAATGGTTGTTAGCACAGTCTTACCAAGACCAGCTTATCTCCGAAGATGTGCATTTGTGCAGCCCATCCAGATCTAGACAAGTATGGATACCAAGAAAGCACTTGTGGAGGGGCTGTGTTCGTGAAAGCCAAGCTTTCACTCGTTGCAGGGATGAAGGTCCGATCTGAAAGCCTCAACCGAGCTACTGTGAACGCCAACGACCAAAGCCTCGGACTCTGATCTAGAACCACAGGCACTTTGTCGCGACCTGATGGCACGTCCAGCTCCGAGAACGGGTCGCGTATTTCTTCGGCTCAATCCACTTCGACACTAGGCTGGCTCCGTAGGTCCGTAGGACTGTAGGGCGTGCTGGCAGTCAAGTGACTGTTGAAGAGGCCAAGAAAAGGACCACGAATTTTCTGCCAAGTCGGTCGATGCGTCTTGTTTCATTCCTCTTTCGGCGCTCCTAGTACGGACTTACAAACCCCCTCCATCCTTCAAAAATGGCTCAAAGTCCTCTTGATGGCCCTCGGAAAGGCCTCTCAGTTTCGCGGCAAGCTGAGAGCCAAGCTCATTATGTTCTTCTCTTTTATCGCGGTTCTAGGAAGGAAAGATCAACTTGTCTCCCAGGTCAAGTCTCAGCAGCTGGCCAAACCTTGTCTCTACAGGTTCAGCGACAAATCACAATACTCTCACCAGGTATTACAAGTAGTCCGAAACATGAGATTCCGCGCTTTTGGGCCAAGTTGGTTGTCGTTGGTGACCTCCAGCGCGTTGTAATATTTCAGAAGAGAGTTTGTAATTTGTGTCCCTCTTGCTAATAGACAATTACGGGCTGGCAAGATGGCAGTTGTCAACTGCAAGAGCAAAGTTTCCAAGTCAGGAAATCGCCCATGTTTTTTAGTTCTTCGACTGCACCTCGAAGGCTCGAACTTCGCACGCACTTCTGGTCTTCTTGCCGCTCTGCAAAGTAGCCCGGAAATTTGAATGGAGAGACTGAAGCAGCTACTAGGCTCGGAATTGTCTTACGTTAGAAACGGAAACCGCGAAGTCAAACAGCCGTTGGGGCAGTTGCCGTTTTGTGGCTAGTACTGCAGTTTTGATATGCGTCACGCCTTCACGAATCACACCGCAACTACGACTACGCACGTAACAGATGCATACCGACTACAACAACACCATGCCAGCGATTCCGGGATATCCGACAAAATTGGAATCGGTCTTCGGTTTCCTGCAGCTTGCGGGCCTCGGATCGCTTTGTTTGTAGCTTTCGAGGCGAAGCGAAGCGGACTCCGTAGGCCAGCGAAAATGCCGAGAATCGCACAATCTCAAGCTGTGGATAATTCAGTATTCGGTTCTTGGATTCTTGCAGCTTCCAGCTGAGTATGGCTTGGCGTATTGCTTGGTTCACCAGAATGGGCAATTTGCAAACGGACAGCAAACGAATGGACAATACGCAGCAGGTTTTCACCAGCCCCTCAAATCGAATACGCGCGAGTTTACTCTCGAATACCCGAGTCCCGAGCTACTTGGGTTCCAGAAACAGGAGGAAATTAACAACAAACAGCCTGACAGCTGCAGAAGCGTGGTTGGAGTAGTGGTTAACTCGTTGCCCTCCCATCATCGGCAAAGGCAGAAAGTAGGTCAATATCTCTCCCAAATACGGAATTTCGCTGACCAAACAGCACTGGTTCGAACCCGGTGCCGCGCATCGGACAATCTTTTTCTTTGCCAAGTGTTCTTTGCATTCACATCGATCAACGATTCTCTCTATGTTTAGAGACTATGTGTTACATGCGCCGTCAAAGCGGATCCTTTGCATCCTCGTAGACAAGACGTAGGTCGAATGCATTTTTGGAAATGCTTATCGCGCTGTAGTCGGTGAGTAAATACTAGTACTGGTGTCGCATACCAAAGGCTCAATTGTTAACCAGATAGTCGCTTCGCTTGGTTACTAGATCAAGGGCGAAACCGACGAGACTATATACAAAGAAAGCTATGTGGATGGAAGCTCCGACTAATGCTCGACCGGTGGACGATACACTTTGGTGTCAAAGCCATAGTTGTCGTCGATTGGCCACTACAAATCGGTGACGACTATATTTCTCCTCTATACCCTACTCTACTGCTCTATGCGTAGGGAGGTATGCGGGCGACGACGGTCCAGGCTATTGAGCTATGGTAGATCGCGCGGTGGCGAAATGCCAAAATCGTACGATGGCGTCCAACGACCGAGCGGCCGACGGGAGCCCGTCGATTACGAAACTCGACTAGAAACCGACTTTCTACTATAAGGCGGCCTATAAACGAGTGTATCAGACAATTGGGTCCAAGAACGGTGGTTTTGGGAGCGCATTGCCGCATTTGCGGTGCATCGCTGTCTTAACTTGACGAGGCGTGGACAACCTTTAATTTTCACTCCGAGGCGTTCACGACGGTCACGACGGACATTCTCAGGCGCATTATGCAGCTCTTAAGCCAAAGAGGCACGCAGAGCTTTTGGGAATTCCCCTGGAAAGGTCGCGAGAAATTCCCGTAGCTGCCTCCAGCCAGAGGAGTTTTGTGCCCTCAATGACATTTACAAGACATTTTAGCAGCCGTGGCGCAAACCGATTTCCCTTGATGAAAGGGCACGAGGGGTTATTCTAAATAATTGTCAGTATTGTCTCACAGTAAGTTAGCTTCAGGTTCGGCCCGCAGTTGGACTGACAGAGCAATAGTCTTTGCCGCAATCCCCAATCCTGGGGTCGACTTACACGCGATGCGACATGAACGATTTGCCGTTGGGCGGCCAGGCAACCATGTCGCGAACTCCTTGCATAAATCCTCGGATCAATCGATTATAAATACTTTAGGCGCGTGCGACGCGATACCGCGGTTCAGAAAGCCATGGTCTTCATTTCGACGCAAGCGGAAATGCAACGGCTACCCATACATGACATCCAGACGAAATCGGGCGTTTCATACATTATTGACGTGGTCCCCCGTGTGCACTTGGATGCGCTCGACTGATGGACCAAAAAGAGTTCACCTCGGTAGGCTACATCTCTTGGTGCTCATGCTGGGAATCGAACTCGAACTCGGAGCCTGTCGTCGAGTAGGCTGTGGGCGTGATTGATTGTTGACCTTGAACCACTCCACCACTCAGCCAGTTTGACCTGACCCGTCGGCCTAGACGGGCGCCTGCTGGCTGGTGACAGGAATGGGATTGAGGGGGTATATGAAAGCTTCCTGTGTATTCGGGTGGAGAGCCTGGCGAACTCGAGAGTATTCAGAAAGTGTGTATTCCGGCAGAGGGATCGCTTGGCGACTTCACGGAGCACGCCAGCCTTGAGAGAGTTGCGCCAATTTCTCCAATGTCTCAGTATTGAGAGTCTTTGGAAATCAAATAATCACGACAAAACGGCGGAACACAACCCCCAGTCACTATTTGCTTTTGCGTAGGTATTGAGTGACGCCATTACTTACAGGTTGCAAACGTTCTTCCAAAAGAACGAATCAGATTTACCAATGGAACTCGCTCGATATATGAGGAACAGAGCGATTTCTGTGGTGAGATCTGGGCGTTGTGCGTCGTTTCCGGAGCCGAAGCCGGTCCGGGAAGAAGACAAAGGGTTGGGCGAGAAGAACAAAGGTGTGCAACTGCGACTGTCATTGCTTGAAATTCTTGCCACAACCACGCTCATGATTTTCTTTCTTTTATGTATTTCCCTATTTCCAAGCATGTTTTATTCAACCCAGCGGCCTTACTTTTACGGACGCGCGAAGTCGCGACGTCAAAAGAATGAGTGGTCGCCGAGCCCAAGGTGGCCGCCGCTGAAGAAGATATCCATTGTCTCCAGGGAGAGCGACCCGTCAAACTCCGGGACCAGCGTCGCTCCTGTAAAAGAAGATGGATTATGGTTATTTTGTCCCGGTGCATTGTCCTGATGATGATGTGTCCAAGTCGGTGTTGCCGTCGCGGCTGCGGCCACGGCCGACGGACCCCGAAGGCTTCCACTCCTCACAAATGACACTCCCACTTCCGGCAACCCATGGCCGTCGCCCCCGGCAGTAGTTCCGGCTGTGCTACCAGCGCGGGCTTCCGTCCTCTCCGCTACTTTTTTCAAAGCCCTCTCTAGGCCGAATTGAATCGCAGACGGTGCGCTGTTCCCTCGGACGCCGTTGTGCCTCTGTGCCGCGCGGAGGAGTTCCAACACCGCATCGTCACCCTCGCCCACGCCCGCACCATCACCTTCAAGTAAGGAAGATCTCTGCTCATACTTGGAGATGATGAGCATCGCGTATGCGACACACAGGCGGTGGAACTCGGGCAGCTCCTCTGCGCGGGAACCGGGCATGTCGACAAAGGCCCTGACGACGTCTGTCGCAAAGGCTCGCACGCGCGACTGCGTCATGTCGGGAGGGCTTTGCGGATCCGCGTTTCTCTGTCGTCTATCCGCTCGCGCATCGGCCGGAGCAAGTCTCGGTGAGCTGGACAAGGAGTCTTGATCCGAGGTGGCTTGATCGTGTTCGAGTGAACGCCGGGCGAGGATGAGCCACGCTATTGAGTAACTTATCCTCAATGTGGATGCGGCCGGAAGATCTGTTCAATCGATACGTCAGCTTGTACCATGATGCCTGCTAGCATTACAATTGATGGACATGTCGTGGTCGGCGCCTTATCTTTGAATGTACGTCGTCGCGTCGTGGGGACCAGCTGCGTTCGGTACTTACCAAATAGGTAATTCCACCTCGTCTTCCACGTCGAGAGCTCTTCACATGTGCCGTCGCTTCCTAAGTAAGATCGTTGCGCAAACTTGTCTTGTAGGATCATGTAAAGCATGATCTCGGCGTAGACCATGGCATCGAGCATTGTCGGCTTCTCAAAGTTGAGTAGAAGCTTGCACTGCAGAAGGTATGCAGCCGGTACGGTTGCTGGTCGACTAGTGGTCGCGGCCCAACTGCATATTGATCGGCATTAGCAATATTCTTAATGTGTTGGTTGGTTCTACAATCAGTATTGTAGATCCCGTTCCAACAACGTCCATCTTCCTTTTTCCAGATCTAATTCATTCCCTTTGATAAATCAAAACATTAACCATGGCAGGGGAGACTCACTGGAGATTTACCAAGCACGTGTTGGCCCAAAGTCGCATGACCCTCTGGTCCTCATCCGTCGATGTCCTTAATTTTGTCCGCGACAAGACTTCCGAGAAGTTGATGCTCAACATAGCCTGTTGCGCACAATGTCCGCTCACCAACCAGCTGTCGATGTATTCCGGCCCCTGTTTTTTGTTTTGCATCAGTCAATCTGCACCCAAATATCTTGTTTACTGATTTCTTCCTGTTTCCACGTTTATGGATCTCAATGGCCATGTATGGTACAACGTACCGATGGTGCTGAAGCCCATAAAGCCATAATCATGATGCCTGTCAACTCTTCCAAAGGCAACGGGCTCGCAATCATTAGCTGACCCATCTGTAGGCGCACGTGCTCAAACACACGGCGGTGTAGTACCGACGAGCTGTGCTCGGAAAAGCGCATCGCGTGCAGACAGCAGGCATCGTGTAAAAAGGGCGAGGCGTGCCGGAGGTCCCTGTTCTTTGGGGCGAGGTCGACTTCGCTGTTGATTAGGAGGGTATTCCGCCTTCGACTGACGAACCTATGTATCGCGGATTAGCAAAATGTTAGCTAGTTGCCAATACGACAACGTAGTTGTGACAAACATGTTGGCGAAACATGATTCGCCCACCCGAATTCTAACATGCATAGTGGTTTCTTTTTCCTTCCTAACCAAGCTCATGTCCAAAGTACTTGAGGCAACGTTGAATGAAAGAACTCACTCTGCAACCAAATCACGAGCCGTCTTGTCGTCCAAAATACCTGACGAAACGACATCAGCTTGGACATCGAATGTCCTTCGATAACCTCCACTCAGTTGGCTTCCAACTTTTCGGACAACTTCTGCTGGAGATAAGTAAACATGTCGGTCTCCTGGCTCGACGTCCTCGTTTTCCCTGGCCTTTTCAGAATCGTGATCGTCGACAACACTCTTGTCGGCCGGTGAATATTGCTGCTGCGGTTGATGGAGTCTCTCTTGGCGCCCCGTTGCCAACGCCCGTCTCACTTCTGGCCGGCTGCCCGATGCTAGCGCCTGCACCGTTGCCTTGAGGTCTACTATAGACGCTTCTAGGCTTCGGAACCTGCCGATGGAAAGTCAGTTAGCGCTTTGGTTTCGTAAGTATTGCCGTATTAGGCAAATGGTATAAAACCAGTGGACCAGGGGAATATTTCAAGTCATGGGATTCATACCTTCCCTCCACATCAAGTTTGGCCGGCGGTTCGCGCGAAGAAACTGAATGGGTATCGCCGCTGTCGTTCCATGTGCAAGTAATTCTACATTCATCAGCTCCTCTGAAACTTCTCTTCCAATTGGTCGGATTCTCATGTTGTAATGGGGAGCCCTCGTAACGGTTGCAATGAGGAAACGCGAATAGCTCGAGCGACAACTTATCAAACCAACAACAACCCGGAGCGCCGATCATCAACTTACCTCAACGAACGACACCTCGCGCACGCCTCGGAATCCTCGTCGAGTTCACACCGACACTTCTGCCTCCGGCACGTGTCACAGGAGAGGATCCGCCTCTTTCTCTTCCGGCTCGACTCCTCCATCCCCACCACATCCCGTCGGCTGTCGTCGCTCAACCTGCGCCGTCGCACGCTTGGCGTTTCGGCTCCGGCGTGCATATCCTGCCTCGGTCCGCTTAATCGATTACCCACCTCATAACCTTCCAGCTTTCGGGAGATGGGCCGGATGCGATATAGTTGCAAGCAAGTTGTTTCGTTCCGAATGAAGGGAACGGAGAAAAAAGTGTTGGTAGGTGATCGTTGGTGATCGGACGGAACAGGAGATAGCCGGATGACAGTGGCCCTTTATGTGTTGGCTCATGTGGAGACCCACGTAGCGGGGCAGCGCGATTGGGGAAGGAAATAACCGGAAATCGACGGATAGGTGATAACCTTATCTCAGCACCTTACCTTATCCTGAGGATAATCTTCGACAGCATGTAAGGAGTTCAATAGTGGCGGCAGTAAAATGTTGAGTCGTGTAACGTCAGCTTCAGGTATTGAGGTTTTATATATAGCAGATCATTACCCCCACTCTGACATGTCGCATTGCCGGCATTGGGGGATACAGGTGCACCAAAATCACGATATTGTTCGACTAAATATCATTTTGATACTGATCGCTTTGAAGATCGTGGCGCTCCAGAGGCTCAGGCTGTAGATAAAGTGCTTTCCGAAATGACCGCAGCAACCGCAGTCGAAACTGTTCCCACGGGAAAGAAGAAGGTCGTGCTCAATACTTTTGATGGGCCGACTTACAGGCTGGTGTCCACGAGCCCACCTAAAGACTGCACCCTCGACGACGTGCCCATCATCGACTTGAGCGGGCTCACAGGCGACTTTGAAGAACGCAAAGCGATTGCCCTGGAGATTTTGAGTGCTGCCAAAAACAGCGGGTTCTTTTATATCAAGAATCACGGCATTCCCGAGCAAGTGATCGAAGCGGCGCATCAAAAGGGAAGAGAGTAAGTAGGCTCGCCCACTCACCGTGTCACTTAATCCGAATCCTTTTGCAGACCATGCGGATACGTTTCCGGAGACATCTGAGCTTACTCGAAATTAGGTTCTTCAAGCTTCCCGAGAAGGAAAAGCGAAAGCTCACCTCCAACACATCGGCCTACGGGTACACCGGCTTCCGGGAGCGGCAGGCCAACCCGGGCGAGACCAAAGATAGGAAAGAGGCCTTCCTCTGTCATTATGAACCCGATTTCGATCCTCTCCACGAGAACCGGCTCGACCAGGTTCCTGTGAACGTCAGAGCGCATTTACCTCGGGAGGACTTTGAGTGGACTGACGATGGCGACTCTGCCGTCCTTCCGGATTTCAAGGCCACAGTGTTGGCGCACTGGCGCGAGTGCCTGGCCCTCTCCCGCCGTCTTATCCGTGTCATTGCTCTGGCCCTCGACCTGCCGGAAGATTATTTCGATTCACTCACTACCTACCCCGGCGGTGACTTCGCAATAAATTTTTATCCCGGTCACGGGGACGAGCGGATCCAGGACCCGGACGAGGTCGGCGTCGGCGCGCACACGGACTTGCAAATCTTGACTCTTCTGTGGCAAGACAGTCACCGAGGACTGCAAGTGCTCAACAGTGCGGGGGAATGGATGTGGGCGCCGCCGATCCGCGGCACGTTTGTTGTTAACATTGGTGACTTCTTCATGAGAATGACAAACGATAGGCTCAAGTCGACTGTACACCGCGTCGTGCAGCACGGCAGAGAGGACAGGATCTCCATGCCCTTCTTCTTTGGTAAGAGATTCTCCTTTTCATCATGAGGTCATAAACTTGGAGGATGATGCCCACCTTCTGGTTCCCTTTTCACTGATCAATTGTCTCGCAATAAAACAGGATTCAATTTCGACCAGGAGCTTGGCGTCCTTCCGACCTGCATTGATGAGAGTAGCCCGGCAAAGTACGGACCGGTGACGTGCGGTGAGGTGAGTCTATGCACCCGATCGGCGGAATCGCTGATTAGGAAAGTGCTTTCTGACGTAGTATTGACAGCTCATCGCCAAACGTTTGGCACTAGCAAAAGTTGAAATGCCACATGGTAGCAAGTAGTGTGTGGTTGTGGATTAGATGTGGACGAGGATTTAGCCTTCGAGTTGTGAGCGGTCCAGACTTCCCAGGTTAACAAGAGGGCCTCGAACTATGATGGAGACTCCGGCAAAATGCAGCAAATACCTAGTCAACAGTGAAACCTAAAAAGAGCAAAGCTGGAGCCCTGATACTTTGAGCGCGGCCTGTTGATCTTTTCCTCTGATCAAGTTGAACTTACATACCAAAGTAGTAAGGCGGACCGACCACCTGTTTGTTGGAGCTGGTTGGACGACGTCGGAGTTGTATACGTACGCAGCCTAGGCCTCGGCTTCCCAAATCCATCGATGGATCTCCATCGCCAGGAACTCCACGTCTGACTTGCCAGCCCCCATGCGCCCGCATGCGCCTCGAAACTAAGCAGACATGGATACGTGACTATTCTCCACCTGACGAGAGGCACGGGGATGACAGGCTCGTTGGGGTTGGAAAGGGAAAAGAATTGCATTCCGGCATACCGTACTCCGTAGACGCTGGGATGCTGGACCGCTCCCGGCCATGTCTCCACAGCAGAGATGGGGTTGATAGATGTGGAATCATTGTTTTCCTAACAACGAGAGCTATGGTGCGATTTGCATCTTCGACCGGCCCATGATGCTTGACGGGCAGAACTGGCACACCGCCGACTGGTGTTCCGCCGCATGCCACTAACACGTTTGACACTTGACTATGGCCGTAAAGGAATGACCGCTAGGCGAGGCAGTCTTGTACCAGTACATTGTCGAACTGTAGAAAGTGAGAAGTGACCAATATCGAGACAGGTGTGAACTCTAGCGGGATGAGGCGGATCGGGTCGTTGTAACAGGCCGCCAGGGTGGTAAGTAAAACCTCTTGAGGTCTGAGGAGGCAGATTTTGGCAACTGAATCGTTTGAAGCACGCGAACTGAGACAGCCGATACCTTTTGATAGTCGTTTCCCCGCGGCGACCCCGCATCATTGAAGGCTCAGGAATCGGAAGGAATTGGTGCTCAGGTACGGATACAGATACTGAAAAATATTAATCAATAACTGGCCATATCGGGCGCGATGTGGGAACCATTCTCCAGTTGACGCCAGATATCTCCTATTTCCCGGTGTCTCGATCTGGAAGGTCGGTGTCGAAAAGCCCATAGGCAATGAGGTCGTAATTCAGAAGCAACGCTTCCGTGAATCGAATATCGAAATCCATGCTCAGAGGGATCAACAGCACAGTGCAATAAAACCATATCGATCAGGGAGAACTCCGCCAATCTCCGCACAAGCTCTTCGTTGTGACTCCCGGATGTCTTTACTCCAGATTGAGCTTCGTTCATAGATATGCATCGATGGTGCACGATATCATGCGCTAGGAATGCAGTCTTTCTCAGTCTGGTTGCGCGATGGCGAGGGCAAAAGCTGCTACGAGGCCAGAAGAAGTACCGGTATACCGCGCAGCAAACGAGATCACCTCAAAAGTGCCGCTCCATTGGGTACGAACGGCAAGATGCGATCGACTGTCTCCGCGTGTTCGGACTCTTGCCAAGATATGGTGGCTCAGGCTCCAGCATTCTTTCTCGGGAGGGGTTGTGAATTGTATCCGTAAGGCCCGATGACGGACACAACGACCGCGATCGAGAGGATGATATGCTCGGCGCACGATCCGGGGATTTAGTAGAGGATCGGTTCGAGCAGGGGTTGTCGTTTAACCCCCACTTCTTCCCGCTAGGAGAGAAGGTGTTGATGATCCACCCGCAATGGCACGTCCACTATGAACCAACGGCTGGGCGTCCAAGCGCGTTCTGCTAATGAGACAGTCGAATCTGATTTCTGAGCCCGAGGAACAGAAGAGACATGAATGACTACGGACACGCTAGTCTGGTTAGCACAGTCAAAAGCGGTCAAAACGTGCTACAACCCATCTTACTCTCCTTCCATACGCTGGTCTGGCTGAGCGTGTGTCAGATTGCATTGACTTTTCTAGGGGTCTTTTGCTAGAACGTTAGGCCGGAGGACACGGAATGCCCCAATAACAGTCGCTAGAAAGAGCGATAGTCAACGCTACTTGAGGGGCATTTCCCCAATGAAGCTGAGGTGACTCAATACAGCTGACTTTCGCCGAAACAAGTGGCTTCGTCTTGGCCCCTGTCATGGCTTTGTGTTTCAACAGGGTCGCAACCTGTTTACTTCAGCTCAATAGCGAACATGCAGGTCGCGCCGACCACATGGAACCGGTAGTCATTGGCTAGCTTGAAGCATTTGACAGCGGTTCAAATCTGGGACCAGAACTGAAAACAGCAGCCAATCGAGGCTGCCTCCCAGGGCGCAGATGATGAGAGTTTGAAGATCAGAGCAAGAAGTGACCGCCCCGCGCGCAGCTGCTAATGTTATCCAGTGGTTCCAGTGCAATCCCGGCCCGTCTTGTGTTTGAACCCTGGAGAATAAGCTCGATCAAGGACCGGGTACTCTTTGACAACCAAGGTGATTACTGAGCAAGCCCGGATTATCAAGTCCGGGTGCAGAGGATCGGCTGAAGTACCCGCCCAAGTGATGGCGACGCCTTCAGTTAGCGAGCACGCGCTAGGACATATAGCTATCGGTAGTGGCAGAACTTCTGCTCGACATTGTCTCTGATTCCAAAGAAGCGTTCCGTGCGTGGACGTAGGGCTGACGAGAGCCTCTCCAGTGACTCCAACGAACCACAATGGCGGTGGTCTCGCATGCTTGGTGCACTTGCCGGATCGGGTGAGAAAAGGGGAGGGTTTTGTTGGGGCTGATGGCGCTGGTTGGCGTTGGGAGGCGGTCGACGGCGGTCTGCCAAAAGGCTAGCTTGCTTCTAAGCCGATGAGCCAAACCACAACTTCGGAAGTGACTATTTCACCTTTGGCACTTCGAAGCGAGGGCGGGGAGAGAGAGTCTAGGCCTGGACCCAACACTGGACGTGAATCTCTCGGTATCTGGATTTTGCCAAGTGCTAGCCGCCGATAGCGCATCGTCTTCCATATAGATCCACCAGGCAGGTATCGTCCAACCCAGTAGCTTGAGGAGGCTACCATGCCTGCTTC